CGCCCGCCCGCCGCCCGCCCGGCCCCCGGCTGCCTCCCTTCCTCCCTCCCTCTCTCCTTTGCGCTCGCTCACTCGCTCGCTCGCTAGCCCTCGGCGCATGGGCCCCGCGCCGGGCCCCGGGGCCTCGGGTTGCGGGGCCGCCGGGGTCCCCTAGACCAGGGCGTGGGCGGGGCAGCCCAGCCTGACACAACTCTGTACCCCAACACCACTACCAGGGCCGGCGGCGGCGGCTGCCCCGAGGGACGGGGCCCTAGGCGGTGGCGATGGGGGCCGCCCGGATCGCGCCCGGCCTGGCGCTCCTGCTCTGCTGCCCGGTGCTCAGCTCCGCATACGCGCTGGTAAGTGCCCCTGCTCGCTCTCCCGGAGAGGCTACGGGCTCACCGCGGGGTTCCCAAGTGGGGTTCATGGTGCAACCTCTTGAATTCCCCGAGGAACCTGGACTTTGGTGGTGGTGGTGGGGGTCCCTTGGGTGTGGAATCCTCCGTGCCTGTTGTCTCTGGAGTGTCTAGACTGACATTCAAGATGCCCCAGGTCTCTCCATTACTGAAGTCTGGCTTTGGGGTCTCAGGTCTGGAAATCTGTGGTTGGGGTTCTCCTATCTTCTGCTTCTATGAGTACCACTGGTATGTTTGTCTCCCTGGAAAATGACAGCGTGATCTAGCACAAAACTTTGCTCTGGTGGCCTCTCTTCTGCAAGTAGTTCTTGCAATCTGGGACACAAAGCAGTGGGTCTGAGGTCAGAATCACCCATGCATGGGATAGAATTTAGGGGGCCCTTTCAGCTCGCAAGATTGCATGGGGTGCACACATATGAACTCAGCTTCACGGAGAGTGGAAACTGTTTGCCTAGAGAGGCAGGTGTGACATGATCTGGAGAAAGAATGGAGGTCTCCTAGAGGAGACTGACCACAGACCACTGACTCCAGCAAATAAGGGGACCTCTGGGAGGATGGGGGGACACCCATCTGCACCCTCCTGAGAGTGGAAGCGGAGAGAGAACCAGAGGGAGAAGAGACAGGAAAATAAGACTAGAAAGAGAAGAGAAAGACAGAGACAAAGGGGCATGAGGCTGAGAGTTCTTCAGAGCAGGAGTGGACAGGCCAAATATAGCAAGTAGAAATAGGGATCTGGATACAGGAAGGGACAGCACCTCCGCCTCCTGGGCATCCTGGCTGTGGTGGGGACCACTACCTGCAGTAAGTCAGCTGCCCCAGCAGCCTGTCCCAGGGGCCTCGGTTGCTGAGGAGGCTGTCTGCCTGGTGTCTGGCTTAAAGGGCCCTGTGCTCCCAGGTGAGAGCAGCTGCCTTCTGGAGAGACTGGCAGGCAGCTCTTCTCCATCTTCTCTCTACTCAGGCAGAGATCCAGTGAGAAGGCAGGCGCTGGGGTTCCCCTAGCTCGGCCTAATGCCTGTGAAACATCAGGCCATGCTTCTCTCCGTGTCTCAGTTTCCCCATGTAAAATGACAGCAAGAAAGAGCCGTCTGACCGAGAATACCCTGGTTTGAGGCTCTCCTTTCTTCCGTGGGCCTCCACACCCTCATTCACCAATGCTCGTGCCCTGTCTACTTTGGCTACCCAAAATCAGGGGCACTGAGGTTCAGAGAAGCTTGGCACGCTGGGTGCACCAGGCATTTCATGCACTGGTGAGTGGGAGGGCCTGGAGCCCACCCTCCCCGCAGGAAGGCCCCCTCTCCCAGCACAGCTGTGTGCAGGGACTGTTGGGGTAGACCGTGGGGGCAATTCAAGTGTCCTTGCAGGGCACCTGCATCAGGGCAGGGCTTCGTGGGACTCTGGGCCTGTGTGATTGTGAGTTTGCATGTGACTGAAGCTGTCGGCACACATTTGCAGGAGTGTGGTTGTGTATGTGTGTACACTTGTGAACACGTGTGAGTTCGCATGTGACTGAAGCTGTCTGCACATGATTTGCAAGAGTGTGGTTGTGTATATGTGTGCACACTTGTGAACATATGAACGCAAGTATATTGCTTTCTTATTTTTATTTAATAACTGATCCTAGAGTGTTTTCTACTTGCTAGATAATGTTCTAAGCACTACATATATATATATATATATATATATATATATATATATATATATATATAAACTAGTTTAGTCTTACCAACAACTCTCTGGGAAAGGTTCTGTTATTGTCCTTGTCTTCTAACTGAGCTGAATCACACAGCTTTCAAGACCATTATTTGTCGCATGCCAACCAAGTACCAAGCCCTCTATGAGGGCTTTAAGAGTCAGAGAACAGAGCCCCACACTGACCTCAGGGAAAAACAGAATTTCCTGGACTTAACCCTGGCCCAGAGCTATGGGTAAGGCAGGTAGAGGAAGAGGGGGCCAGGTCTGCCCTAGGACTTACGTGGGGTCTCTGTGACTAGATATTCAAGTCATGAGCCCTGGACCTTCCCTGGCTTCAGGGCTAAAAGGTACTGCCTAAGGGTAATCTCGTGCCCTGGGGGTCCCTTGGGCTCCATTAGAGCCACGAGAAGCTCCCTCCCTGAGCCCAGGACTGCTGCTCATGCCTGCAAGCCCACCAACTTGAGCTGAAGCTCCTGCCACCTAATCTGGATGCCCCCTGTCCATTGGGCTCTAGGATCAAGCTCCCATCTCCAGGGGCCTCATCGCTGGGGGGCCAGAAAGTTTCCCACGGGAGGCTGCTGGTCAGACTTGGACGGGTGATCTTTTACTTTACCGGGAAGAGTAGCTGTGAGGGGTTCAGGTGGAATAAAGTCTGGAAGAAGGGATGGGCCCAGGGACCTGGGGGGTGCTGACCCTAAAGAGCAAGTCAGCATCCAGGAGAAACCTCAGCCAAGAGGCTGAAGCTCAACATGGGGCTTTCAGTGTAGAAGTAACTGACCATGGAGTCAGTCTCAGGACATCCACTGTGCCCTGGAGTGTAGGGACCTCTCCTAGCCGGCCCCAGGGGCAGCACAGCTCCCCTGGTCACTTTTTTTTTTTTTTTAAAGATTTATTTACTTGTGCATACAGAACTGGGGTACAGACCAGAGGCTCAGGGGCGGTGAGAAGTTTCACCAGAGACAGAGTGGGGAGTAGAACAGGCAGATCGATGAAGTACACTGCTGAGGGGAGCAGCGGGCGGGTCAGGAGAGGTCTGCCACGCCATGTGGTCACCTCCGGGGCAGGCGGGAATCGAACTCATGCGGAGGCGGTTTTAGATTCTCAGTGCTGTGCTTTAACCCACTGCGCCACCAGGGAGGGCCCCCCCGGTCACTTTTAATGACGGGAAGAAACCAACATGTGTTGAACAGTGGCTTTCCCTAGATTCTGAGCTAGAAACTGCCAGGTATTTTCTCATTCCATCATTAGCCAGCCCATTTCGCAGGCGAGGACTCTGGTTCAGGGGTGAGTCTGTGGCAGAGGTGGGGCAGACTCCAGCACTGAGCTGCTTTCTCAAAGCAGGGTGAGGGCTCTTGTGGCAGGAGAAGCCCACGCCCCATTGTGGGTTTCCCCTTTCTAGTCCTTCTTTTTTCCAAAAATATCCCGTTATTTTCCTTTTACTTTCTTATTTTTAATTTCATAGCTAATACTTGAATATGTTCCTTCTCATAAGAGTCAAATAAAATACAAATGAAACAGAAGTCATCCTTGATTACTGCCAAGCCCCTTCCCACTTCTAGAGAAAACTATTTTTAACAATCTAGGTGGGGGAATATCCACCTGAACCTTTTTCTGTTTCTAAAAGCTTTTTTATATATGCCTTTTTTTGTGTATATATGAAGTAGATAATTATGTTCTGATGTTTTTTGATTGTTTTTTAAATAAGTGGAATCAGTTTGTAGATAGGGCTTGGCCATATGCTGTGTCTCGAAGGTCTTCCTGTCAGTAAATGTAAGTCTGTATTTTGTAATGCTGCATAGTATTCCAAAACCTGGGTGTCGCTAAGCAGTTACTAGAATGTACATTTAGATCATTTCTGCATTGTTTTCACTTGTGCCTCCCTGTGCATATATAGGAATCCAGACTGGCAGGGAAGCTCCTTGAAATGCCCTCTTGTGTCCCCACGTGACCACTTCCCTGTAGGATATTTCTAGATTCTGTCATTCCTGGGTGTGAGAACACGCACATTTTTTTTTTAAATAGGCACGTCCACATTGCCCTCTAAAATGCCAGTGTCGGTTAATACTCACACCACGTGTCACCACCAGGGTCTTTTCCCCAAACCCTTTATCTCATAGGACAGTACGAGAAGTCTTTTCACCTTTGCAGCTCTGATAGGTGAAAAATGGTGTCTCTAGTCATTTTAATTTGCCAATTACCAGTGAGTTTGGGGATTTTACAATTGGTTTACTGGCCATCTTCTAAGAGCTTGCTCAGAGCCATCACCCATCTTTCTGTGGGTTATTTATCTTTTTTGTATTGATTTCTTGGAGCTTTTTATATCACCTGCCCATAAATACTGTCCCAGCCCCCAGCTCTGTTCCCAGAGCAGGAGGAGGGGGGCTGAGCCCTCCCTAGAACTTGGGTTTTCTTCGGAATGTTTTAATGAGGCGTCAAGCAGCCTCCCCCAGATTCCTGTTGTGGGCCTTCTGGGGACACTCCCTGGTCCGGCCACCGCATCAGGAAGGCAGTACTTTCAGAGAAAGAGTCCCCAGGAAAAAGAAGGGGTAAGTGGGGGTCTTGCAGACCCCTGAAATTGAAAACCACACTGTGACTGGGAGATTAGCAAAGACTTCGGGAACCTCCAAACTTAAGAACCCCAATTCTGGCGCCTGCCCCTTGCCTGGGATAAGTCCTGGCAGACCCCGTGCTACTGACCAGACTTTGCGTAGGTGAAGCCATACCGCCCCTCTGGGTCTGGGACCTCCTGCCCAGGTGAGGCAGCTCCTGAAGACCCACAGGGTCCCAGCAGCCGACTCCGACTCCGCCATCCCAGGCTCCATCCCACCGCCAGCCCTGAGGCGTCCAAGCTGGCCAAGATGAGAGGCAGGCGTCACAGTGCCTCCCCCCACCCCAACCCCTCCCAGTCCTGAACACAGGCAGCCTGTTCAGCAAGGCCTGGCGAGGGGGAGGAGAAATCAGCACTTGTCAGTGGCGGAGGGGCAGCAGTGTCCCCGGCAGGGAGCCCGTCTCAGCCTGCTTGGGCCAGCCTGACAGACTGAGGGCAGCGAGGGGTGGAGGAGCAGTCCCCGGCCAGCTGGCATGGGAGGTATTGAGGGGGCCAGCACAGGTCCCAGTAATGGAACCCAGAGAAGAGGTGCAGGAAGGCCAGGAGGTCATGAGGGGGTCTCCTCTTAGCCAGGAGTTCTCTCCTGCCTTTTCTAGAGGTACACGCTATACCTTGCACCAAATACCAGGTTGCAACTGTCTTC